GGAATTGTATAAGTTTCCTTATTGTAGGTATTGCAGCTCTTTGCATTAAATACGATTTCATTTAGGTACTAGGTAGTTTAACTAGAATTTAAAAATGCATTCATATTAAATTCAAAAATGAATTTAACCTCCTGTTTTTATTGTGTCGGAATATTAGAAAATTCTGACCAAAATCGGAACTAGTCTTTTGAAGATTGTCCGTCCGGTCTTGCTAGTGCTCTAACAAGTACATTTCTTGCCAAATATTTATAAAAAAAAATCAGCAATGTCTAGGACGAGTTCAAAAATCAGTCTCAAAATTTTTTTTAAAAAGTTATGCCCCTTTGAAACATTAATTATAAGAAATATTGCATCGTTAGCGCTCTCATGTGTACTACAATTCTTGCATATGAAACTTATATTGAAGGTTTATATCAGTAATGTCTCGAACGAGTTCGAAAATCAGTGCCGATCAATATTTTTATAAGAGTCATTGCCCTTAGAAATATTTACTTGAGGTTCTAAAGAGCCCGTGTCGCTCACCCTGGTCTATGTGCATATTTAACAAAGGACACTCTTCAGCATTGTAGACGAGAATATAATTCATGACAAAAATCTTTGTTTTGTTGATCTTGTATAAATGATCATTCAGTCTGTTTAGGTTCTCTCTATCTTCTTTAGTTTTTGCTCAAAACACAAAAGAGGGTAAAAAAAATCCTCATTACGGGCAATCACACCTATAAAGAGTGAGTCTACTGACTATACCTGAAAAATTTCACTTGTTAGTAGATCTTGCCTTGCTAATCATCTTTGTGATCTAAAGTGACTAATGTATGTAGCTATTATAATTGTTATCATATAAGGCAAAACGCCAGAAAAAAAATGGTAAAAATCGACATTAAAGGGCAACAACTCCAATAATGAGTTGTCGGACGATATCCTCCAAATTATCTCAATTGTAGATCTTGCTGATCATTTTTGCTTTTTTAAGTTTCTATCTATCTAATATAATTTATAAGATATAAGACAAAAACGCAAAAAATCGGTAAAAATCGTCATCAAAGCGAAATAACTTTAATTAAGAGTCAACTGACGATTTCGACCTGTTGGCTTATTTGTAGCACTTGTCTTGCTGATCATTTTTGCAATTTAAAAGTTTCTCTCTATCTATCATAGTTTTCAAGGTAATAGACAAACATGAAAAGTTTGTAATTTAAGGGCAATAACTCCTATAAGAAGTTGTCTAACAGTTTTGACATATGTAGACAATTGGTAGAGCTCAACATTCTGAACATTTTTGCTCCTGTTAGATTTCTCTATTTATAACGGTTTTCAAAATAGTAGAAAAAACTTGCATTTTACCCAGATGTGTTCTACTTTTAGACATGTCGGCCGTCTTGGTTGGCAGGCCGAGTCATCGAACATATTTTTAAAATTAGATACCCCAATGATGATTGTGGCCAAGTTTTGTTACATTTGGCCCAGTAGTTTCAGGGGAGAAGATTTTTGTAAAAGTTTACGTCGACGGACGCCAAGTGATGAGAAAAGCTCAACTTGGGCCTTCGGGCCAGGTGAGCTAATAATATGGAAAATTGCATCGTTAGCTCTCTCATGTGTACAATTCTTGCCAGATTTTTATGAAACTTATATTGTAGGTTTATATCAGTAATATCTCGGACGAGTTCGAAAATGAGTTCCGATCAATAATTTTTATAACAGTTATGGCCCTTAGAAATATTGATAATATGGAAAATTGCATTGTTAGCGCTCTTATGTGAACAATTCTAGTCAGATTTTTTATGAAACTCATATTGTAGGTTTATATCAGTAATGTCTCGGACAATTTTGAAATTAATTCCCGAGCACATGTTTTAAATGAGTTATGCTCCTTAAAAATATTAAAAAAAAATTTTGTTAGTTATTAATTTTGGACAGACAAAATATGTGGTACGCGGGGGACATTGGAACTCTTTCCTTTTATTTTTTTAGTAATTTTGAAGACCTATTATGGTGTACCGTCAACACTTCGGACAATAACTCATAAACGCTTCCACTATTTTTCATGAAAATTTGATGATTTTTGTATATCTACTGACGTTAGCTCCCTTTTTTTATTCATAAAAGATGAGCGATTTTCCAGTTTTCTGACTATAACCCAAAATGCTTTGAACAGTTTTCATGAAACTTTGGTGAAGTGTTTATATATATTGACATAAGTTCCCATTTCGATTTTTTTTAATTTCTGGTCTTGGAGTTTGGGGACTTTTTTCATAAAAAGGGGTGATTTTCTAGTTTTCGGACTATAACTAAAAAACGCTTTGAGCAGTTTTAATGAAACTGGTGGCTTGTTTATATCTTTTGAAATAAGCTCCCTGTTGGTTTTTTAAATGAATTTCAGTCCTCACAGTATTTCAAATTGATCATATAAATTCATTTAAAGCATATGGACGAGCTAAAATGACGAAGGGCGTATCATGCGCTCATGGTGCAGCTCTTTATTTAATCAGTTTCAACCATACAATTTAATTTCTTCAAATTGACTCATGTGCTTCGGGCTCTTGTACTTGATTATAAAAATTCATTGTTTTGAACTGTACGTAGGCCTAAACAATAGGACAATCTCTTACTAAGAACATGATTTACGTTTATATTTCACAATAAGGACATAACAAGCCCTACAAATTCTTAAGTCGAGAGCGATTTGCAATATTCTAAATTAGAATAACTCTTTACACAAAAAGTGAATGAATATTTGATACAAGCATTTTGTATATTCCTAAATGTTACAAGCTCAGTGTAAACACGACAACTTGATTTACATTTTAAACTGTTACATAAATGTTAGACACTAATTCATCGGTTTCAAAAGCAAAGCGAAAGATACCAAAGGGACATTCAAACTAATAAGTCGAAAACAAACTGACAATGCAACGGCGAAATACGAAAAACGACGAAAATACTAACACTAGTACACAAAACACAAAATAGAAAACTTAAGACTAAACAAAAAGAACCCCATTGAAACCCAGGGATGATCTCAGGTTCTCCAAAAGGATAAGCAGATCCCGCTCCAACCGGGGCACCTGTCGTGTTGTTCAGGTAAGTGCAAACCCGATGAGCAAGTGTCAAATTATCAAGAGTTTGATTCCTTGTTAGAACTATCACGACGGAGGTGGAAAATTTGTCATTTGCTTTGCCCTGTTAAAAAAAAAACAACTGAGAAGTCTTGTAGCATTGGATACAAGTTTTGTACTTGTTTGGGCATAACTTGAAATTCTGTTTTGACACCAATAGACATTTACTGAATGCACAAACTGTATATCTGGGAGTCATGTAGTCTGAAGAGTGCATTGCCTATTTTGTGGCATGTTTGGTTTCTTTTGTTTAAATTTTTCGGGGGTTGCAGCATTAAAGTGAACATCTCTTAACTTGAATGCATAAATTAACAATTATCTTATTAGCAAAAAGTTAAATCACAAAAATACTGAACTCCGAGGAAAATTCAAAACGGAAAGTCCCTAATCAAATGGCAAAATCAAAAGCACAAACACATCAAACAAATGGACAAGAACTGTCATATTCCTGACTTGGTTTTAGTGGTTTTAAAGCGCTAAACCTCTCACTTGTATGACAGTCGCATCAAATTCCATTATATTGACAACGATGCAAGTTCATTTTGTGGTACGTATAGGAAACACTTCAAACTTAATTGTAAAATAATATCGATTCAATACGTTAAGTGCACAAAGCAAGACAAATGTGTACTTTGTGAAGTGTTGCCAAATAAAATGATTGATTTAAATCACAAAACCTTTAGTTGTTTATTACTCAAGTGGTCGTGTTTGTCGAGATGTTGGTAAACTACTGGTGAGACATGGTGTACTAACTGTTAATCGAGTTTAATATATGGCTTCCATTTTTTTTATATTCTGTGTATAATCTCAATCAATAGCAATATTATTTATACACGGGGTGTCGTCTTCCTATATTAAGGTATACAAAGACGGCACGTGCCGCTGGTATGAATCACTCTTTAGTATGCCAAATATGTCATTGGGGTGCAATTTCATGGAGCTTATATATAAATGGGTAGAAATTTATATGTCAACGGGTCATACATGTTCATCTTCTAGTAAGATGTCTGTACTAATTGTGTTCTGGTCTTTTTATCTCTATTATGAATCACGGATCCCATGAGGTTAACATCTCATTGAAAAAAGATGACTTGGAAATACATATAAATGGGTTGTAATTTTCTTATCAAATATATCAATATATGAATGGCTGTGTTTTTCAAACCATGTACCCATATTTGTAGGTTGAAACACCCCCTCTCCCGTCCATTTATATCGGTTATAAAGTCGTATTCAGACGAAACCAAAACTGGCCACATAATTTCATATAAATTAGTAAACGGTATCCAACAAATATCGTAAAATTTGTTTATATTTTATGTAATTGGAATGTTGACAAATTTTAAACACTTTCCTCAGCTGTCTTGATTAAATGTATGTTCCTATGTCGAATTTACATTATAAATTTATACGAGCTAAATTTTCCACCTCTTTCGTGGAAAAGAGAAGACAGTTCTGACATGGAATCAAGCTCTTAACACTTTGAAACCGATGAAATGGCGTCTAGCACTTCAAGTGATTAATCAAGTTATGATTATTACTGAGTTGATAACATTTATTATTATAGCAATTGAGTACTAAAACCTTTTTTCTTGGGTGTCGAAACCTTTCAATGATAAAATCTCTTTATTTCTTCGAAATACACACGTGTAAGGAAACATTTTTCAATTTGCTGCGATATCTCTCATAATCAGATATAGTCCAATATAGATATCAAATCATAGTCAGGAATATGACAGTTGTTGTCCATTCGTTTGATGTGTTTTGTCATTTGATTTTGCCATGTGATTAGGGACTTTCCGATTGAATTTTCCTCGGAGTTCAGTATTTTTGTGATTTTACTTTTTATATATAACTTTACAATCTGAAACGACAACTTAAGTTACTTGAAGACTTAAGCAAAAACTGTGTTTACAAATACGAAAACCTATAAGAAGAGAAAAAAAGGTTGGATAATTGCCTTGCATGATATAAGAAATTGATAACGTAACACCATATATTTACATTACAAATATAACTGATATTAGGTAAGTAAAAATATGACAAGACATAAGTATTCATTTTGATTAGTACTCTCACCAAGCTTAGATGCAATGTCCTCTGAAAAAGAAACGATAAAAAACCGAATCGATATATTGATTATTTAATTAATGGAAGTTCATGACTGAATTAACAGAGCAATACGTCAATGGAAGGGGTACTTCAATGTAAAAAGGACGGACAATTGGTGTTTTGGGTGTAATAGAATTAAATAAAATAAAATGCATGTTGGAAGGGGAAATGTCTTGCCTATGTAACCGGCCACATATGGAAACAATTGCATTTAGGGTCTACCTTGAAAAGATAGAGGCAAGTCTATGACTAAAACGGTTGCAAATTAATTTATACAACAGCCAAATGGCCGCCCTCTGCATGATATTCACCATCGAGCAAGATACTCGAAAGACACAAAGACGTCTACAACAATAAATCCGGTAAAACAATATTAATTAAAATCTTCAAGCCTTTAATCAGTTCAATTTTAATTGGATATAAACCAATAGAAAAACTAAATTTACAATCCTTTCTGTTTCTGTCATGTTGTGACTTATAACATGTTTCATACCAAACCAAACGATCAGATTCAACCAGATTGTATACCGTGCGATTGCAAGCATACAATTTTAATTGAATAAATTGACTCTTCCGATATCTGAAGAAAATATTTTAATGTCAATATGTTTGATTTATTTAATTATATTTGTTTCATTTTAAAAATATATTTGAATATATTCCAAAATATGAATACGTTGTAAACGTGTAAAATGATTTTAAAAGTTTTACCACTTTATTGTATTGGGAATTGTATTTGTAAATAAGTAATTTCGCTTTAACCTAAAGTTTTAGTAAATTAAAAGACCTTTTTAAATTGGCTGTCACCGCAATATAGCCTTTTTTGTGCTGATGCGGCGTAAAGAATTCACCAATTAATCTTCAATCAGATTCGACTTGACACTAGGCAAAGCGGCAATATACTACATGTTCTACGTAAAATATCTTCTCTTGTTTCAAATAATAATAATAATCCGATCTAGTGATATTAGCATGAGCTAATGTTAATATGCTATTTGATAAGTTCAATCAGTTACAATAGCAGAGTTTTAATCAATGAGTAGAAATAATATAAATCCTTACATACAGATCCCGCAATCAGTATAAACCACGAAAGCAGACACTGTCTCAAATTGAAAAAAAGGATCGTTTAAGCTTTGTTCGGGTTTTTTATTCGTTTTGCGTCAAGTCAAATTTGAAAACTTGCCAAAGAAAACAACTCTACAAGTAACAAAACCTACATAGAGTTTTATGCCAATTTTTAAACATTTGTTTTTCATATTTAGCAAACTATAAAGCAATAAATATATATAATATAATTAATGATCAAGGACATATACAAGAAAAGTAATTTTTTGTTTGATTGTTTGTTTTAACAGACAAGCACCTCAAATAAATAACTGACCTCCTTTTCTGGAGACGGATTACTACACGACAAGCAATGTTGGTTTAGAAATTAATTCCCATATTTCTTATGGAAATATATTATATTTGTTTTTAACTGTGCAATATCCTCAATTCTTAAATAGATATAAGAAGATGTGGTATGAGTGCCAATGAGACAACTCTCCAACCAAGTCAAAATTTATAAAAGTAAACCATCATAGGTCAAGGTACGGTCTTCAACACGGAGCCTTGGCTCACACCAAACAGCAAGCTATAAAGGACCCCAAAAATTACTAGTGTAAAACCATTCAAACGGGAAAACCAACGGTCTAATCTATATAAAAAAAGAGAAAAGAGAAACACTTATGAACCACATCAACAAACGACAACTACTGAATAAATGCTTATTTTTCTACGAATTGCTCATGGATTGAGTTCAAATTATGCAAACAATTTTAGCATAGTACTACTAAGATAATTTTTTAAACAAATGTTTTACAGCAAATATAGCGGACAAATAGTGGAAATACATAAAAGTGGAAAAACAACACCATAAAACATTTCTTCTGAACTTCTGGTGTCCAATTAGATTAATGAGCAAATACAATTCAATGGGAGTACGGCGACAGAATATTTTTTTTTTTTTTTTTTTTTCAAAAGTAGACATACAACACTTTTAGACTTACACGATGAAATTTAGCTCCCAAGGTTGTCAATGTGCATGTAACCCCGAGAACTCAATATAAAATCGGAGATATGCACGTACAACAGTAAAATGACAATTGTCCATGCTCAGTTTGGATACAAAAAGAAGGTAACTACACGCATTTTCTATATAGGAATGATTGGGATTTTTTTATCGGGTTTAATACGTTAACTTAAGCGGTCTTCCTATGGGTTCGATTTTTTTCTTCACATTTCATTTTTTCACATGTGCAACTATATTTTATTGACAACATCAAAGGTCAAACTAATGCAGGATAACAATGCGACAGTCGCTCGGGAATATTTTAACATGTAATACAAAATTGAACCATACTTGACTGATAATAGCAAAATATTATTCAATATTCCAAACATGTAAATGTTTTAAACATGTTAAATATAAAGACTTAATTAAAAAAAATTTCAACATCAAATGCCAAAATCTAGCTAACGCCGCTTTAAAATCACATTTTTGTTTCATAATAAGATAAGATTTGTTTACCTCAGACCATTCAACGACTACCAGCATGCATACATATAACAACGGCAAATACAACTTTGGCCTTGTTTATTTACAATGAATTAAAAATTCATAAAAGGTAAACAGGAGAAATTGACAAATAATAAACCTCTTACCATATAGTAAATTTTAATAACACAATGTTTTTATTTCAGCAAGACTACACCAAAAAACATTACCAAAGGAAAATGTGTTCTAAACTAATAGTAAGAATTATTCAGTTTATTTTTGTTTTGCTGACATTTGTGACAGTCAATGGTGTTACGAAAAACCATACAGGTAAGATTTTAAAGGCGTGGTCAAACGATCAACAAACTTTGATAACAAAATTAATTGAAAGGAAATGAGCAATGCATTCCCTCCATGTATCGGCCTTGTTTTATTCGAACGTCACTGATGAGTCTTTTGTAGACGAAAATCACGTCTGGCATACAAAATTTTAATCCTGATATTTATGATGAGTTTATTCTCCACATAACCTGAAACATTGATTAAAGAAAATATTTCCACCGGAGAGGCTAGTTGCAAAAGATTACCTCCTTTGCAAATACTGAAAAAAAGTAAAATGACAAAAATACCGAACTCCGAGGAAAATTCAAAACGGAAAGTCCCTAATCAAATGGCAAAATCAAAAGCGCAAACACATCAAGCAAATGGATAACAACTGTCATATTCCTGACTTAATACAACTACGCCTCTTCTATTGATTGTCCTTATATGGTGTTATCCCTGTAATTATGATCATAATCCAACAGATGGTTTCCGTTTCAGAATAATATAATTCCTATTTATTTAACTACTCCAACATTGCGGGAATTATGTTATCCTTAATTTTAGTATATGCCACAAAACCGTTGCAAGCCAGAAATTTAGCCATCATTTTTAATCGAAGCTGATGTATAATTACAGAGTTAACACAGACGTGATTTAAAATCAAAAGATGTTTGATCTTTTTTTCTTGAATGTTTATTTCAATAAAGTACTTTTTCAGTATTGAAAAAAAACAACGTTTGTTTACAAAGAATAACACGAACCAAAGGCAACATGAGATTGAATATCTGGTTGCAGTAACTATAAGGACGTAAAAGGATGACTGCTTTCAGACTGTGTTTTCATTTGTTACTTGACACAGGAATCAAACAGAAGACAATCTTATCATTTTGCTTTTGTTACTGGAAAACTTGTTTTGTCCTTGTCATTGTATCTGAAATTTCTAAGTGATTTAGTACATGAACACTGCACAACAGATGTGTAACTCTGTATGCATATTATGTGATAAGGTGGAAGAGTTTTATCGAAACAATTCAAATGTTCATATAATGTTTTCAAAGTAGCTTGTTGGTATTCGTAATCATAATAAATGATTGCCTATTTATATATAATAGAGGATTTATTTTCCCATTTTATTTTATTTTATTTTTCTCCCGTGCTGATGGGATTTCCGTCGTATCGGTCGACCCACTAGTCAAAACGTGCCTATTGATTGATTGGTTGATTGTTGATTGTTAAACGTGCAGTGGCTTAACTTCCCTATCTGACCAGAAGTGGCTGTACACATGTACATCCCGCAAAGCTAAACGGACGCCCCACTTTGACAAGGTTTTACTGCAAGTCGGAAGCATACATAAGAAACCATATTTCAATTCCCCAGTCACGTGCCAATTGTATTAATTTGTTAAGTTATTTTGTCTTGGATGACACGAAATAATGCCACTTGACGTTAAGTAAACAAAATTCAATCAATACTTTGGTCAGGGTTGATACAATGTACTTATTATTTATATAAATGGTTGGCCTGTGAAATTGGAAATGATAAATGGAATAAATCAATCAAGCAAAATCAGTTTTTTATTAATTTTTTTGCGGGGTTTTACAATTATTCCCATGACTACGAAAGGTCTTTCTCGACAATTTACAAAGACATATTGTTGGAGCTACTAGATGAATCTCAAATTCAAAGAGAAATATGTAAAAGGAAACAAGATGTTCCAATAAATAAAAATGAATATAAATAGAATATTTTATATTCTAAAATGAACACGATGAGGCGTTATGTATATATCAATGAAACAGCGATCGAATGACACATAGAGGCCAACAATGTCTGCTGCTTAAAAAGTCAAAAAACGTCAGCGCATGACAAAAAAAAAATAGTCAAGAGAAACGCGCAACGTAAAAAAAAGCGTAGGGAAATGAAGCTTGATAGTGGGATGTTTTAATGATATAAATAATAAACTATATATGCACATGCACATGCAAAGTAAGATACAACAGTAGGCTACTGATGATCAAATCTAAATGGATTCCGAATATAGAAATTGCGATACAACAAAAAGAACTAATGCAATTACATGTACCCAAATTTGACATAGGGCAAGTCCGTCGTCAGGGTAAGCATACCATGTGTATCAAGACTGCAGTCAAAATGTCAAGAAAAGAAATAGAACACAATAGACAAATTTACAGATCGTTTGAGCTTTATCATAATTTAAACATTATGATACTAGTAACAAAATATGCCTTTCGTCATAGACGCATCGTATCGGTCAACTTATTCTTGAATGTGATTGACAAACACTTGTGTAGTGTAAATCTCAACCGTTCTTTATCAGAACCCTAATGAAAATGGACGTCACTTCCTAAAAGTAAAGACATTTAAATGGGCGGTATTCGAGAATTACTTAACCAAAAGACGACCCATAACGTTAAAACAACTTACACCAATATAAGATAAATCAGGTTAAGGATGACTATTTCTATATTAATTCATAAATATTTGACGTGTAAAGTTAAAACAACACAAAACACTGAACAGAAGAGTTTGCATTGATGTGACAGCAACCATCAACACAAAAATCACAAAGGATACTTTTTGCAATATCACTAATGGTTAAATGACCGATCACATTCTTTTTTACTAGTATTCACGGTCTTATAATAATAAGTCTTATGTAGACAAAACGCGCGTTTTGGCTTACAAAATTACAAGACTGGTATCATTGATGAGTTTTGTTTTTATTCCAGAGGCCTTTTGTAAAGTATCCTTTGAAGACGAGAAAGATGGTCAAAGTCGAGTCAATACATCTGCGAAACTTCTTCACATTACACTGGACTTTCAAAACACGACGAACATGTTAGTTCTACACGACACCATCACTTTGTACAATCCACACGAATGGATCATAACATCGGGAACATATGGAAGTGGATTGTTACAGTTAAGATCTATCTATGAAATCCTTTCATTAAAATCTTTAAGTGTGCACACTAAACGGAACAACATCAGATTAACACAATTTCCACACGACTGCTTGAAAGGAATGAACGCTTCAGAATTCGAATTAATTATTCGGATGTTCTTGCTTCAGCATATCGGTACAAATGAAGAAGTTTGCAATGTCCATATCCGGAACGACTCTGGTTTTGCGGAATTTGATCATGAATGCTGTTCTTTAGGTGCGGACACGGTTGAGTGTTATGTCGTTAGGAAGAATTTACCGATGAGAATGATTGACATTTGCTCTTATATAGTTGTAGTTCTCGTTATACTGTATTGTCCCCTTCTGATACCGTCTTCTTTATACAAAAGAAAGCTAGAATTCGTCCATCGTCTAGCTGAACCATTACAAATTAGGTGTAAAAAGACGGGAACTGACCTTTCATGGAAACAGAATGGCTTAAGGCGTCTAGTTTACCTGGCAAGATTCGTTAAAAATAAACCAGAGGAAGACGAAGATAAGATTGTATCAGAATATACCTTCGGGAAATATTTTCAAAGTACTTTGGAAAAAATGTCTCGTAATGGGTTTTACGAAATAGTCATAAGTCAATTACATTTCAAGGTTAAACACAGAGAAATAATTTCTGAAAGTAAAATTGAAACTGGGTTATTACACATTTGTTATAATTTGTTCATCAAATGTGGACGAAGAAAGAAATATGATAGAAATATTTGGATTAGGAAAAACCCATATAACTGTTGCTATCGAAATGTACTCGGCTGTTGTAAGCCGTTCGGAAAGGAATATCCTTGGTACAAATGCTTACGCGTATTTATGCATATCATTCTCGCGGCAGTTGTTTGCTCCCCTTGGGTGTTCCGAATATGTGTCTATTACCTCTACGAATATTCACTTAGAAATGAACGTCTTGCAGCAGCAGAAAAGAGGAATTTAAAGTTAAGATTACACGAGAACTTGATGTTCTATCTTACACCTATTCACGTACTATTTATAGCTTGCTACATCATTCTAGCATTGGAATGGATTTCCTTCAGGTTTATGAGTAAAAATGTCAAATATTTGACAAAGGAGATGTTGCAAATTTGCTTTCATGGTATGAACGATTCAGCAAAAATGAAAAAGGTTTTCTTTTGGGCAATCAATACGCTTAGTATTCCAATAAAGAGCGGTGGTATTTTCGGATTTTTTCTAGGCGTGATATTTTGGCCAATAACATTGCCATACGTTGTTATTGTCGTTTGCTATCACATATTCCCCACAATCAGACTTTGTGTTTCGTTGTTTTGGATCATCGTTTTCGACACCATTCCGGATTTTCGATCTTGCAGCGTCAGCATAAAACAACACAGGTTCCCACTTTTAACGTTCTTTACAGATCCAATTCAGAACACATTTGACATAGGATATATTGAATATCGTAAAAGTCGCGGGAAAATCATAAGATTCGTACAAATTCTGTTCTCCATTTTAGCAGTTTGTTCCATTGGCTTAATAACGGTAGAGTGTGTAGTTTTCCTAATCGATGTTGCGGTATATACAATGATAGGTCTTATTTTAAACTCATCCCATGCAATTCAATTAGTTTCTGCATTTTCTATCGCCTGGTTTTACTTCCAAAAATGCTTTGAAGGGAATAGTGGTATATATTTGAAATATACGAAGGTAATTTTGCGCATATTACAAAACGAAAACAAAGATGAACTACAACTTGTTGCTGATCTTGATTCTACCCACCAAACTAATACCGCCTTCCTGGTAAAACACGCCAAATGCAATGCGGAGTTTTTCGTCAATAATAATGGAAAGCCCATGTTGACAACGAAAGGCGTAGTATTGCTTCTGGATAAGTATGACAATCTATATATAGAACGAGCTTTTTTCCGGAAAGCTTGTCAGATTGATCACCCATCGTGTCCGGGTCCTGTTCATGAACAGATAATGAAATCATTCCGACGTTTTATGTCCATAGTTATGTTCCTTATCTTTGTGACGCTTATAGTGCTGGCATTTGGTGAAACGTACAGCATTTCCATTTCAAATCAGCTCCTAGCGACCATTGCCGGTGGTTTCGTACCCTGGATCCTGATGAAATCTGATATTTTATTCAAGAATCCAGTTGAACCGGATTTTGATCAATTATCCGAAAACATTTGTTTTCAATCTAGACTCAAAGAAAAGATAAACAACGATGAAGAAACATGGCGGATTTGTGATATGGAAGTAGACAGTGTAAGAGAAATACAAGCAACAGAAAAAATCGACTTAATCGTTAAAATACCACAGTCTGGTATGCGAACTGCAATTTAGAAAATTAACTTAAGAATTCTCTTTTGCTACTTACAAATGCTATTTACCACATTTGAAGATTATCCACATTGTTTTCTAATTCAAATAGTTACATGACTTGCAGACAAACATTATACTTAATATATGTTCTTAAAAATAAAAACAAAATGGTTTAATTTCATTTAAAATATATTGTTTTTCTCTTAAAACAATGTATAAACTTCCCAATCAAATGTAAATGGCATATGGTGTAAAAGAGGATACTGTTTGTTACAATTGAGAGTGATAAACTAGCGCCTAGAGATTAAAAACGTTGTATGTTTTATATATATATATATATTTCTTTATAAATTTGTAATCGCACATTTTAACGGGAAATGAATAGTATTATGGAAAATCACGAACGATGCAATATCGTGTTTGATTTAAATGGGAATGACTACAGTGGGACGTTTAAAGGGACTAAGGTATGTAGTTATTATTGACCACCAACTTAAAATTTTTAAGTGACATGTACATTTGTTTAGCATACAGCAGATTGCAGACATTGCAATTTTGAATAATGTCACGACGTTAAAAGGTAACAAATCATAGATTGATTGATCGTTACATGCTTGCTTAACGTAGAGTGAAACTCAGTTCATACATATTCGGGTCGAGAACAAATAGAAGAGGGACGAAAGATACCAGAGGGACAGTCAAACTCACAGATCGAAAACAAACTGACAACGCCATGACCAAAAATAAAATGACAAACAGACAAATAATAGTACAGATGACACAACATAGAAAACTAAAGACTAAGCAACACGAACCCCACCAAAAACTGGGGGTGATCTCAGGTGCTCCGGAAAGGTAAGCAGATCCTGCTTCACATGTGGCACCCGTCGTTTTGCTTATGTTATTACAAATTAGGTAAATAGTCTAATTCGGTAGGTCACATTCGTGAAAAGGGAAGGGTATTGTAGTTACGACATAAGGAACATATCCGATATCATCTGTAAAACGGTTATTCCATAGCGGTCAACCAACTCGTGATGGCGCCCGTAAAATTTACGAAGGGATGATTTCAACTTCACCATTTGGAACTCTTGGTTTAATAGCTTCCTTGTGAGCAGCAATCCTCTATCAAGGAAATCATGATAGGAAATACAAGCCCGGGAATATCGTATCAATTGGGAGATATATACTCCGTATGCAGGCGCTGCTGGAATGTTGCTACATAGAAATGGAAAGTTCACAATTGGGAAGCTGAAATCATCTCTTTTGTCGTAAAGTTTTGTTTTCAACCGACCCTCATTGTCAATTTCTAGATGTAAGTCAAGATATGAGGCAGACTTAACTGTATCTGTAGTGTCCTTTATCTCAAGTTCGATGGGATAGATTCGTTTAACATAGTCACCAAATTTTGTATTATTTAGTGAGAGAACATCATCTATATAGCGGAACGTAAAGTTAAAGGAATAGAGTTAGGTGCTGCAAGGTTAGACAACCGGGATGAAGAACGGGCATATTAACAGGCAGGCCGCATACGGCCTATTCAGAGAGTTGTTGCAAACGTTCTTTAACGTGTCGAGATCTTGGCACTCACCCTAACCGAGGCAATATTACATCCATAAAAGTAAATCGTAATTGCTGTGTGTTGTTCAACATATATTTGTGGTTTTTTTTTAAATTCATATGCTGTTATTATTTATCTATGTATCTGGTAAACATACAATAAATTTTATATTAAAATCACTTTGTTATTTCAGGATGTTCTCTGATTGTAATAATTGATTTGTACTTTTTGTCAGATATTCGAAATCCTGTGGTTTTATCAATGGATTGCCATTATAATTTTGCCCGCTAACTCCTGCTTTTCTTAACTTTATAACATATTGTTTAGTAACCCGCTTTTGAAAATCTTAGTAAAACCTTAATATAGTTTTTGAAAGGAAAAAGGGCGCCAATGTTAAATTTATGAATAGTGTAGAGGAAATCATTTCCCGTCAAATTTTAAATGGCTGTTATATCAAAAACAAGGACACATCCCTATTTTGTGCCCTTTTAGTACCGTTATTAATATACATGTACAATCAATTTATAACAGTCTTTTTTTTAAAAGGTTATTAATTTGAAACAACAGCCAACATCCTTAATTAGGTTTGTCAAACTTTTCTGTACAATCGGTAACATTGCATTCCATCGGTTTAGTGGATAGTTGTGTCCACTGAAAACCACATACAACGAGTAACTGAGGTACTGCCCCTTTGACCATCAAAGTTTAAGGAAGATTATTTGAGATGAAAAGGATAATGCAATGTGTTTTTTTATAAATATGGAACGTTATTTAAATATGATATATACACAAACTAAAGTTTAGGAAACATAATGTCACCAAAACAAACTAGGCGCGAAGTGAAGTTCTCCGTCAGGGTTAGCAGTTCATGTGATGTGACGAAGGTCATTATCATTCGAAAAAAACAATCAACTCTAAGCGTAAACAAATATCCCTCACATCGCGCTTAGAAGTACCGTTGTTTTACACATATAAATGTTTATGGTTGTTATTTCCACTGTCTTTCTACGCAGGCACATATTGACGGAAATTCTCCGAAGAACATTTTTTAGTTAATAGATGACTGCCAATTACGAACAACAAAAAAACCCAATCTGATCGTCAATTTGAGTTCTATAAATCTTTATAATGATAATTATTTGCACACCTTTTTCTCAAATGCTTTTTTTATTATTTCCAAAGTATGTTTTTATATACATTTTACAAACTTTGATTTTTTACTCATTTAATTCAGATGTCAACTATAAAGTACATGTGAACATAGTGTATGTCTATTGTCAGAACATATCAACTAAGTAAACAACAGGAATTAGAATTCAAGAAATGAAAAAAAAGAACACTTTGAAAATTTTATGCGCTTTTCTGGATTAACCTTCAACAGGAACGCTCGAAGCCAAATATTTGAAATAGAAGGATGTATAGGTAGCGGAACAAGAGTAGAGCTATATTACAAAAAGAGTGACAAGAACCGGACGATTGCTTCACTCCCAATGATACAATATGATTTGAATATCAGAGGATTGTCTTTTCAACGAATGACTGTTGTGATCATTACAGGTACAGAATAAGACTTACCACTAAATTTGATATTAATTAGATACCTTATTGGCAACACATTTTAATTTATATCAAAAGAAAATTAGCATAAATATCAGAGCTAAAAAAAACAAACATCGGATATAATATTATATAATATTTAAAAGTAGGAGTTGTCTTAAGATATTTTTAAAGATTATATCTTTGAGAATAAATCACTAATTCATAAGAGTACAATTTAAACTCATTTACCTTTAACTGTTATGATTTTCTCAATGTTATTTGTACATGTTGTGTACATTAAGGTTTTGAAATTGTTTTCACAGCTTCTCACATGGAAACTTGTAAATCAGGAACTTGTGTAACGGACGAAGAAGCGTCATTGCTAGATTCTAGTTGGTTTCTGCTAAATACTCCTGATAAATTATCAGCTATTGTCCCTACACGATAGCCAAAATGTCGTACTTCCACATCAACACCTTATGTATTCCTCGGATCTATCGGTGCTCGGTCATACTGTGGAAATGGGATGATAACATTGTCTCATACAGATAAGTCGCTAAATTTCTGTTTTGTATTTCTTGTTAGGACATTGGCTTGGATTTGTTGGCCACACAATTCTCGTTTTCTTGCACGAATGATTGGGGTTTCGACTTCCTCTGATACAACTTCAATAGTTGTACTAGTTAATCCAGTTTCAATATCAATCACGGAATCGTTAGGTTCTCTTTCTAATTCTACCGATTCAACACATATGATTTCATTCGTGCCATCAATTGCACTGTTCTCCTCTGAAACGTCTTCGAACACTTTCACCAAGTCTTCCTCAGTTTTAAGATTTGGAAAAAGTTCCTTGGGAAAAGAAGATGAAGACAAACCGATCTTTTGGTCAGAACCAAACAGAGCATGATACGGCGATTGTGAAATGATGATTTTTCTGAAATTGTACAAAGCACAAACCTTCAGTCCATTGTCGTGTGTCATTATCATCATCAATAATGTAAAAGGAGCCTCTTGCCTTTGTTAGTCTTGTATGTTGTTTTTTTTTATAAATTCTGGTTCATTTATATGTTTTGGAGTTTAGTGTGACGTCCATTTTTTGCAGAACAAGTGCATATTTTTGTTTAGGGGCCAGCCGAAGCCCGCCTCCTTGTTCGGGATTTTCTCGCTGTGTTGAAGACCTATTTGGGGTCTTTGGTTGTATTTTGCTCTTTGGTCGGGTCGTCTCTTTTACACATTCCCCGTTTCCATTCTCAATTTTATTTGTATTTTCTGTGATCATACAGAGTTATGATGTCAGTTTGATGCGACATGGTGACTGCAATATTCTGAATGCAAATCATGCATGGTATAATAAATTTGATTTTTTTTCTAAATCATAATATAAAACATAACAAACAGACCTTTTTGGGACTCCTATATTGGGTCTTTTGAAGCTCCAGAAAACAAGATTTATCCTTTCAGGATTTGGGATTGATGTTTAGATTCAACATTCGATTTTAGACCACCTTCTATATTAGTCATATAAAACGGGAAAAAAACTTACCATGTCCTCCTTTTTATGAGCTTTTCAATATCAGCAACTTGACCGACATCATATTTCTTAAGCAAATGTCTGTCTTGGTCACTTTTCGTCAATGCCACTTTTGCAATTTTAACTTTAGAAATCAACTCATGCAATGTGTCCTTCGTATAAAGATGGTTGTGCTTTAATGTGATATTCTCAGCAAATTGCTGAACTTCTTCATAGAATTTATCCTGTTGATCAACAATACTGGCCATTTTATTGAAATAATTACTTTTAATTTTGTAAATAACCATGCGAAAGACCAGTGAACAGGCGTTCAAGTTTAACATCAAGGCAATTTAAATGAATAAATATGACTTTAAGAATTGCATTGATTTTACATGAATGGGCTAGGTTGTCTTTCATTCATATAAATCTTTAACAATTTTGTAGTTTTATAGTTTTAATTCGTACCTTCATAAATATTTCGTAAATTGTTTATGGATCATCTTTTATTCATTATTTTAAGCATATTGAAAACAAATATCTATATAAATTACTGTTGTACAAGTTATAAGTGAAATTAAGGATGATCGCTACTATTGTTTTTAATTTTTGTCAGATATTCTAGTTTTATCCATGTTAGTGCCAATAAAACTTTGCTCGCTAACCCTTATTTTTCTTTTCATAATTTTGTTACATATAGTTTAATGCTATAAAATCCTTGTTATGTTTTCATATTTTTTTAAAGAAAAAGGGTGCCAATGTTAAATGTATGAAAAGTCTAGAGAGAATTATTTCCCGCCAAATTTTTAATGGCTTATATCTCGAAAACAAGCACACGGACCCTCAATTTTTGTCTGCTTTTTTAGTTCCTTTATTTTACATACAATCAATTTATAACAGTCTTTTAAAAAGCTTATTATTTTGAAACAGAGTAGCAAACATCCTTAAGCCTTATTTTGTACAAATTATAATTTGTACGAAGTGAAAATACAAATTGATAATTTTTACGTTTTTATTTCTCACTTTATAATTTGTACAAAATAATAACTTGTTCACAAAATATTTACTTTCTTTAATTTTACATGTGAATTCGAGCTACGCTCCCATCCCATATGAAATGTACTGACTGTGTATATACCAAACCAGGTCACAGATTGCCTGTGTGATATATATAATTTCAGGTAAGAAGACAACCTTACTAAACAATTAACAACTTATTGTAATTTCCAGTTAATTGTCAACGACTAAATTAAAATGGTTGTTGACGACCTTCAGTTGACTCAATTGTTTTCATATTTGTTTGAAAAAATATACAGATACAATTAGAAGTGATATCATGTCAACCATATTCAATTTCATAAAAAAGTCAGGTTTAGAATATAAATCAATTGCTTAAAAAAGCAATTGTAAACGGTCTTTCCCCTTCTGAAACATGATTGATTGATTGATTGATATATGTGTATGTTTGTTTGTTTCTTTCTTTCTTTGCAAGGTCCATATTAGTGTTTTGGTTAAGTTTCTATATTTAGTTTGGAAAGTTTTTATTCTATTTTAGGTCCCGCGCGCGTCTTTGTCTCGCGCCAGATTGTGGCGTCACGTGACGAAGCTTTATAATAGCGAAAACTTAGTATTTTTATTTCTTTTTAGGTGGAGACGTTGGACAGATAACATGTATAGCGACGGAATACACACAATGTATTTCTTTTGTCATTGTAGGTAATTGACGTTTCGATCACAGTTCACGAGCAGTGCATGCTTTGGATTTAATTGATCCTGTGTAACTTTAAAACACGTTTATCGATTATTTTCATACAATGTACATTTTTCAGCAGCAGTTTGTAACACAGATTTTTATTTCAATCTAGGAGCGGCCATTTTATTGTAGGATTTCACTGAGATTTACGGAACTAGCAAGCGATTTTTACGGCATTGCAATTTCTTTTCTCTAGGAGAATTCTTGAGAGATATCTGCACCACGTTGTTTTATGAAGATGTAATGCATGTATACCCTGCTGACTGCAAATTTTATGGGTCAATTAGACATGTAGTTTCCCAGAACATCTGATAACAAGCATGTGGATTTTTTTTTTTCAGAAGAGATGTAAATACAATATTACACACATGAGACGGAAACATGCATACA